AAAAATTCGTATAAAATCCATTTCTTGGAATATGAGTATGAAAATTTCCCAAAGTATTAATAAAAGTGTCCTCTTTCCAATGAACCAACCCGTTTTGAAGAATAAGTTTTAGTTTTTGAGAAAACAGCATTTGAAGTTTTGATAAAATGCAATTTTCATCGATAATTTTCAAAATTCGCTATAAAATTAATTTCTTGAAGGATTCTTGTAGAAATATCACCAATTATTAATTATAACATCCTCTTTTTGATGCAAAACGCCATTTTGAAAAATCATTTTTACTTTATGAGAAAAATTTTTTTGAAATATTTAACAATTCTTTCAAATTTTGCAATTTTCGCCGATTAAGTCAAACTATGAGCCACATTTTAATCGTTTAGGCAAGTTCTAAATCATTAACAACGCGTTTTCAATCATTTAGACAAACTTGTAATGATCACCAAATAGTATTTAATTATTTAGACAAGCTTGCAATGGTTATCAACTAGTTTTAAATCATTTTGAACATCCTGGTATAGCTAGGAACCAGTTTCCAATGATATACACAAGTTTTCAATATTAACCAACTAGATTTTAACCATTTGGATAAGCTTTCAATGATTACTTATCAATTTTTAATCATTTAGATATTGAGTCAAAAATCACCAACAAGTTTGTAATTATTTTGAACAACCTGGCATAGCTATAAATCATTTTGCAATCATTTAGACAACATTTCAAACATTATCAACCAAGTTTTAGTCACGTTGAAAAATTTTGCACCGTTATAGGCTTGTTTTGAACATCACTAGGTGCTGTTTTATATGTTATTAAACAACTTGGAATAGATATAAATCGTTTTGCAATGATTTAGACAAGTTTTATTATTGTAGATCAAATTTGAGTTTGTTTCTAAATTCAATAAGTATTGTTTCGAGTTCTGATAAGTATTCAATCATTAACTTTGCTCGTAATGATATTTATTTATGATCCAAAAAAGATTTATATTCTTCAAAACTGAGTTTGAATGAAAGAAAAATTATTTGAACGTAATTGTCCTTGTGACCAGGATCCAATATGACGATGACCTTAACGTTTAAGGTAAAAAATTTTGAAAAGTAATTGTTCACGTTTAATATTTACCGGTTAATTTGTTTCAAAATTGGGACAGGCGTCGGTTTTGGTCCAGATGATTCCAACCTTGATGGTGCTGATCGAACCGGAGCATCGTATTGATAATCTTGAGCTAAAGATATAGCCAAAACGGCAAAAATTGGTGCCTACAAAAATAAAGATAACAAATAAATTAATTAAAACTTTCACTTCATTTGCGATCTACTTTTTTCTTTGTTTTCGAATGAATTATTTATAAATACTGAACATTTTTAATCTTAACTGCGCCTGGTTGGCATTGAGAGTCAGGGTGGAGTTAAATGTTGAAGGTGGCCCAGAGAAGGTCATTTCCTCAACAAATCAGTTACCAAGTCAATAAACCGATACAAAGAAATTATTATTTTTAGTTTCAAAATTCTTAGATTATAAATGATCCAAGATGAACCTATTGTTACAAATTGGGATTGGCCTTAGAAAGTGTATTGTTAAACCGGGTATAAAAAATAAAAATGGGTGCGGAATTTCTTAACTATTTATGCTCAAGAATCATAAAAATTAAATGGTGCAATTTTAAAATTGTCAACAAATTGATTTGGACTTATTTTAACTTAGCCTTATTATTCGTTAAAAAAAAACTTGAAAATACTTACGATTTTAATCAATATCATTTTGTTGTATGTTTTGCACGACACTGAGGTGTCGTGGGGGTAACTACAAGCCTTTTATAATCTCGAAATGCCAACTTAGTAGGGGACAAGGATAGTCAGTAGCCACAGGTTTTGTTGGCCAGAGGTTTTCAACTTCTTCGCCGATATTGAACCTTTCACTCTTACATTTTCAATTCCATTTTTATCGATCCCATTTCATTATAATATTATTAATAAATAAATCATTTGAATTTTTAATTATATAGAAATAATTCTATATAAATTATTTATTTAGTTATAATAATAATAATCTTTTAATTATAATGATTTAGTAAAATTTACGAGGTGATCTAGATTTTTAAGGTTATGTAATTTTCTTTTTGGGTGTTAAAAGTATGTCAAGTTATTTTCTCGAATCTCTTAAGTTTTTTCCTTTTCATTACCATTTCATTTAATGTTATAAAATAATAAGGAGTGGTTGACACATTTATTAATTATATTTATTTGCCAACATATTCTGGCCAAATAACGGTAGAATCAATGATAAAAAATTGGTAGGTTTAGTGCTAGTTCTAGTTTTAGTTCAATAAAAATATACAACACTCTAACGCTGTTAGAAACATCATTAGATGCAATTTTATATGATTTTGATCATTTAGACAAGTTTCCAAACATATCCAACCAATTTTTAATCGTTTTGATCAATTTTGCAACGTTGTAGGTTTGTTTTGAACAGCGTTAGATGCAGTTTTATATGATTTTGAATAACTTGGAATGAATATAAATCATTTTGCAATCATTTAGACAAGTTTCCAAACATCTCCAACCAATTTTTAATCATTTTGAACAATTTTACATCATCATAGGTTTATTTTAAACATCGTTAGATACAGATTTATATGATTTTAAACAACTTAGATTAGATATAAATCATTCTGCAATCATTTAGACATGATTCTAAACATTACCAACCAATTTTCAATCAATTTGAACAATTTTGCAACGTAGGTTTGAAGTTGTACAATTTGTTTTGTCATTTTTTGAAAATGATGTCTAATAGGTGGCTTCTCCCAGCTGTCACCACAAAATCGGCCCTTTTGCGAGTGTTTCGGGTGTTATTTCGGCGATTTCTTGGCGTATGTTGGCCTTAAGTTGCTCAAGTATGTCTGGCTTGTTGACATAAACCTTGCTCCCATCGATTTGGAAACATGGTAATCAAGCAGGATGGTATGTTACACCATCTTGCTGGAACCAGTAGTCCTCCATGTCATTTTTTTCAAGTTCTGTTGTCAAAAAATACCGTAACATAGCAATTTGGCAGCTGATTGTTGAGTTATTCAAAAGAACCCAACCCAACCCAACCCTGTATTATTATTTTCTTGTTTTTTATTTTGTGTTGATAGAAAAAAATGTTATTGAGTATTGAATTTTTCATACCAACCCAAATGCCGCATTGAGAAACATATTTTTATAGTATAATGGACTTTCGGCTATAACAGACACTCCCTCCCCCGTATTAGAAAGAAACAGAACAGTTTGGAATAGCTATAAATCATTTTGCAATCATTTAGACAAGTTTCCAAACATCACATTCCAAGTTTGAATCATTTTGAACAATTTTGCAACGTTATAGGTTTGTGTTAAACGACATTAGATGCTATTTCATATGGTTTTGAACAATTTGGAATAGCTATAAATCATTTTACAACCATTTTGACAAGTTTACCAATCAATTTGAACAATTTTGCATCATTATAGGTTTGTTTTAATCATCGTTAGACGCAGTTTTATATGTTTTTGAACAACTTTGAATTGATATAGATCATTTTGCAGTCATTTAGACAAGTTTCCAAACATTACGAACCAAGTTTCAATCATTTTGACAAATTTTGCATCGTTATAGGTTCGTTTTAATCATCGTTAGATGCAGTTTTATACGATTTTAAACAAATTGGAATGAATATAAATCATTTTGCAATCATTTTGACAATTTTCCAGACATTACCAACCAAGTTTAATTTATAACATAGTTATTTTGACTGATTTTAATATTATTTAATATTGTTTTATTCATTTTTAAATCATATGTGTTACTTTTATATTTTCAAACTTAACATTTTCTTCATATTTTGACGTAAGTTATATTATTTTTATAACGATTTGTTCATTTAGTTCAATTGATGTGATGGTTTTTTGTGTCTGCTTACATAGATTTTGGCTGATGATGACTTAAAAGTCGAAACCGGTACCAATAGACATTAAAATACAAACAAGTACGAAGTTTAATATAAAATAATTTCCTTCATATAAGTTTCAATCATTTTGAACAATTTTGCATCGTTATAGGTTGGTTTTAAACGGCATTATATGCAGTTTTATATGATTTTGGATTACTTGGAGTGGATATAAAGTCTCCAACCCTTATCAACCAAGTTTCAATCATTTTGAACAATTTTGCATCGTTATTGGTTTGCTTTAATCATCGTTAGATGCAATTTTATGTGGTTTTGAACAAATTTGAATGGATATAAATCATTTTGCAATCATTTAGACAAGTTTCCAAACATTGTCAATCAAGTTTCAATGATTTTGAGCAATTTTGCAACGTTATAGGTTTGCTTTAATCAACATTAGATGCAATTTTATATGATTTTGAACAACTTGGAATGCATAAAAATCATTTTACAATCATTTAGACAAGTTTTTAAATATTATCAACCACTTTTCAGTCATTTTGAACAATTCTGCATTGTTATAGGTTAGTTTTAATTATCATTAGACGCAGTTTTATATGATTTTGAAGAATTTAGGTTGGATATAAATCATTTAGACAAATTAATATCTGTGAAGTTAGCTTAAAATGATTTTTTTCTTTTTAACTTTTAACAATTTTGCATCGTTATATCTTAGTCTTATCAAAAAACTTTTATAACAAAAGTTGTAGCAAATTTTCTTCTTAACAATATTGCTCTCTTGTATATTTGCTCTCAGATTCGTCAATATTGAGAAAAATACGAAAATTTGATGAATTTCCTTGTTTTACTATTAACTAATGGTATCATTCGGGAATCGAAGCATGTTATCAAAAAACTTTTATAACAAAAGTTGTAGCAAATTTTGTTCTTAACAATATTGCTCTCTTGTATATTTGCTCTCAGATTCGTCAATATTGAGGAAAATACGAAAATTTGATGAATTTCCTTGTTTTACTATTAGCTAATGGTAACATTCGGGAATTGAAGCATGTTACAAATATACTTTTAGAACAAAAATTGTAGCAAAATTTATTCTTAACAATATTGTTCTCTTTCACTTTTGCTCTCAGATGTGTCAATATCGAGAAAACACAAAAATGCTAAAATTGTATGAATTTTGTTGTTTTACTTGCTCTTAATGGTAACCTTTTGGAAATCGGAGCATGTTATAAAAAAACTTTTGGAACGAAAGTTGTAGCTAATCTTATTCTTAACAATATTGCTCTCTTGTATATTTGCTCTCAAATACATCAATATCGAGAAAAATACGAAAATATGAAAATTTTATGAATTTCGCTGTTCTACAAATTGTTAATGCTAACACTTGGAAATCGGATCATGTTATAAAAAAACTTTTGGAACGAAAGTTGTAGCTAATCTTATTCTTAACAATATTGATCTCTTGTATATTTGCTCCCAGATTCGTCAATATTGAAAAAAATAGTAAAATATGAAAATTAAATAAGTTGACATATCTTAATATGTCATAATGGCTTATAGATATGCCGGATATCCGGTTTTTCGCAAAATCACCATCCGTTCCATCACTAATATAAATCATTTTTCAATTATTCAAACAAGTTTTCAAACATCATCAACCAATTTACAATCATTTTGATCAATTTTGCATTGTTATAGGTTAGTTTTAATCATCATTAGACGCAGTTTTATATAATTTTGAACAACTTGGAATGGTTAAAAGTCATTTTGACACATTTTCAAACATCATCAACTAATTTTCAATCATTTTGAACAATTTTGCATTATTATAGGTTTATTTTAATCTTCATTAGACGCAGTTTTGTATGATTTTGAACAATTTAGGTTTCATATAAATCATTTAGACAAATTAATATCTACGAAGTTAACTTAAAATTGATTTTTTCGTTTTAATTTGTTCTATTTTCGATGTAACCTTGATTTTTTCGGATAATTTAGTTGGATTTATTTCAAAATTAGTTTCACCCCAGTTAACGTAATCTAAAAATACCCAACAAAAGTAAAACTCTTTTACATAACACACTGTCTCCCGATCGCGATACAACGTTGAGTAAGCGAAAGAACGTTTTCTTTCAACTACACGATACCCACACCAAACGGAGCGTGACTTTGTCCACGCATTGTGTCCGAACTTATTATGTATAAAACAAGAACCTTAAATAATAAAAATGGCTATTTAGCATGCACGCGATTCTCGTTTGAAATTTCCAATTCAACCCTCGATTAAATAAACTTTCTTTTTTTAGAAACGTTTCCATCCTGATTTTGAATCGAACTAAATTAGTAATGAATTGATTTTATTTGTCACCAGATCGTTGGAATTCCGATTCAAGGTTGTTTTCGACTCCACCCTTCCTTGTTCTTGTGCTATAAGTTATAAGCTGGCCGTTTTAAGTGCGTACAGGATATCGAACGAGACATTCCAATCTTAAAACGACCTTTCAGAAGAACCAATTTTATCTTATACATCGAAGCAAATCGAAACAAAGAGAAGAATTATTTATTATCACATTTTCTTTATTCATTTTCAAAGTTACAACACAATTTTTTTGATAATAACATAAATATCTTTATTATTTAAGTATATACATACACAACTCCTTATTATTATTGGCATAACCTTAAAATTAACATGAATAAGTGATTAGATTAATGGAGATAAGTCTTGGGATGTTTATTTTTATTATAGACTAGTTTTTTTTTGTCATTTTTTTTTACATTAACCCTCCTCATAATTAAAAATACACAAATAATTCTTATTAATAACTAACGGAGTAACTTCCACTGGCGTAATCAACACCTGTTAAAGGATGAGGTTGAGAAACTTGAGGTTGGCTATTAAAATTAAAATGAGATTGAGGTCGATAAGGTTGTTGATAAGTGTTTTGTTGATAACTCGGTTGTTGATAATTTGATTGCTGATAACTCGGTTGCTGATAATTCGATTGCTGATAACTCGGTTGTTGATAATTCGATTGCTGATAACTCGGTTGTTGATAACTGGGTTGTTGATAACTACTTTGCTGATAATTAGATTGCTGATAACTCGGTTGTTGATAACTAGGTTCTTGATAATCTTGCTTAGTATTAGTATAAACCGGTTGAGATTGGTAATTTTGACTCTGAAAGCTTTGATAACTCGGCCTATTGCTATAAACATTATTATTATTGACGCTATTTTCAGAATTAAAAGCATCATTCTTGTAATAAGCAGCGGGATCTTCGCGATATTGCCCATCATCCTCTTCATTCGGCGCTAACGGCCTCAAAGCTTGTTGATTATTAGTTAAAGTAGGTGGAGCCACCGTGATGTCTTGCCCGGCTGGTTCAAATCCTCTTCGAGTGGCTCCATATTCAACCTCGCGCAATTTTCCTTGATCATCTATATAACCATATTTCCCATAAACCTCTCCATTCGGGTATTTAGTTTCGATCTTATACGAGCCATCAGCCCCTTCATAACCGTAACTATAAGACCCATCTTCGTTGTGTTTATTAATTTGCTTCAAAATTGGAACTGGGGTGGTGTATTGTTGAGCCAAAATTATTGGCACAAACACTAAGAGTATCTAAAAAAAGAAGAAATAAATGGAAAAAAGTGAAAATAAGAAATAAAAGTCTTCAAGGTTATTAATTTATAAAGTGCAACTTAAGACCTTGATATTTAAAAAGTTATATTTATATCAAATAAGATAATATTTATTATGAAAAATAAAATTAATCAATTTAATTATTAATCATAATTAATAAAAATGATACTTACGAATATTAATTGCATCTTGGTGGACACAACGAAGAAAAACAAGTCGATAAACGGGCCTCGCCCAATATCGTTGGTTCTTATATAGTTTTCAGTTTCCCCCACAGTTGCGGTTCTTGCACGCTGAAGGTTGGCTCAATTCTAAACCGATTCAACATCCAATGCGGATTATTACTTCCGAATGTACAAATTAATAATTCATAAATTTCTCAAAAAAATAATAAATTTAAATCTTCGCCTCAAATTTATTAATATTAATAAGATCTCCCTCACTTATTTAGTAATCAATTAATTTATGTGGAATCGTTCGATATAGAACACCTGTATTTGTAGTTGATTTAAACCCGTATTTATGTATTTTCCAACATTAAATGCCATTGGATTGTTTTGCTCTCCATAACACACCTCTTGAATACTTTTTATATGGTAATTTTATTTAAAATTCCTTAGCTACTTTTTTTTACTTCATTTTTATAATTTAAAAATTATAGATTTTCGTATTGATTAGAAAATTTTAACCTAATTTGATGTATCACACCCCGTATCTATCTTAAAACTCATTTTTACAAGTATATTTAATCAGTAATATAATTAATCAGTGTTTTGTTTTCGGCCATCTTGAATTAAGAAAATTAAAATATCTAGAAACATTCCGGTTTGAGAAACACACGGTTAAACTCGGTCAATCACAGCCTTCTGCAAAATTAAACATAATGATTTATTGATAAATATTGAAATGATTCTAATAAGAATCAAAAATGCTTTAATTTGATACCAAACATGATATACTTGGGTTGAAAAGTAAACAAGTTAGGTTGGAAACTGTCAAATGTTAAAATTAAATATATCGATTTTTTGATAAACATTGAAATGATCGTAATAAGAGTCAAAAATGCCTTCATTTGATACCAAACATGATATACTTGGATAAAAAAATAAACAAGTTAGGTTGGAAACTGTCAAATGTCAAAATTAAATATAACGATTTTTTGATAAATATTGAAATGATCTTAATAAGAATGAAAAATGCTTTCATTTGATGCTAAACATGATATATTTGGGTTTAAAAATAAAAAAGTTAGGTTATAAACTGTCAAATGTCAAAATTAAATATAACGATTTTTTGATAAATATTGAAATTATCTTGAAAAAAATTAAAAATGCTTTTATTTGATGCCAAACATGATATAGTTTGGTTAAAAAGTGAAAAAATTAGTTTAGAAACTGTCAAATGTCAAAATTAAATATATCGATTATCTGATAAATATTGAAATGATCTTAATAAGAATCGAAAATGCTTTCATTTGATACCAAACATGATATATTTGGGTTTAAAAATAAAAACGTTAGGTTATAAACTGTCAAATGTCAAATAATCGCCATTTTGTTTTGCTGAAAATTAATATATCTCTATAACGATCGGAGATAAATAAGCCAAGTTTGGATTCATTTTAAAGGATTTTTAATTTTCTATCCATTAACGTTAAAAAAAGAACAGCTTTATAACAACAAAATTTTTCTAAATTGATCCTTATTAAGAAACAAATACGACTGTTGATTGTATCAAACAATCACACTGTTGAATTAATCTGGGTGGACATATTTGTTGGTCAAGTTGATGCCTAGACTTCATGTCAAAATTAAATATAACGATTTTTTGATAAATATTGAAATTATCTTGAAAAAAATTAAAAATGCTTTTATTTGATGCCAAACATGATATAGTTTGGTTAAAAAGTGAAAAAATTAGTTTAGAAACTGTCAAATGTCAAAATTAAATATATCGATTATCTGATAAATATTGAAATGATCTTAATAAGAATCGAAAATGCTTTCATTTGATACCAAACATGATATATTTGGGTTTAAAAATAAAAACGTTAGGTTATAAACTGTCAAATGTCAAATAATCGCCATTTTGTTTTGCTGAAAATTAATATATCTCTATAACGATCGGAGATAAATAAGCCAAGTTTGGATTCATTTTAAAGGATTTTTAATTTTCTATCCATTAACGTTAAAAAAAGAACAGCTTTATAACAACAAAATTTTTCTAAATTGATCCTTATTAAGAAACAAATACGACTGTTGATTGTATCAAACAATCACACTGTTGAATTAATCTGGGTGGACATATTTGTTGGTCAAGTTGATGCCTAGACTTCATGTCAAAATTAAATATAACGATTTTTTGATAAATATTGAAATTATCTTGAAAAAAATTAAAAATGCTTTTATTTGATGCCAAACATGATATATTTTGGTTAAAAAGTGAAAAAATTAGTTTAGAAACTGTCAAATGTCAAAATTAAATATATCGATTATCTGATAAATATTGAAATGATCTTAATAAGAATCAAAAATGCTTTCATTTCATACCAAACATGATATATCTGGGTTGAACAATGAAAAAGTTAGGTTATAAACTGTCAAATGTCAAAATTACATACAACGGCTTTTTGATAAAAATTGATATAATGTTAATAAGAATCGAAAATGCTTTCATTTGATACCAAACATGATATATTTGGGTTTAAAAATAAAAAAGTTAGGTTATAAACTGTCAAATGTCAAAATTAAACATAACGATCTTTTCATTAATATTGAAATGATCTTAATATGAATCAAAAATGCTCTTATTTGATATTAAATACGATATGTGTACGTTAAAAAATAAAAAAAAAGATAGGTTATAAACTGTCAAATGTCAAATAACCGCCATTTTGTTTTGCTAAAAATTAATATATCTCTATAACGATCGGAAATAAATATGCCAAGTTTGGATTCATTTTAAAGGATTTTTAATTTTCTATTTATTAACGTTAAAAAAAGAACAGCTTTATAACAACAAAATTTTTCTAAATTGATCCTTATTAAGAAACAAATACGACTGTATCCGACTAATCGAGGTTAAGAGAGGTCGAGATAAATCAAAAAATCACACTGTTGAATTGATCTGGGTGGACATATTTGTTGGTCAAGTTGATGCCTAGACTTCATGTCAAAATTAAATATAACGATTTTTGGATAAATATTGAAATTATCTTGAAAAAAATTAAAAATGCTTTTATTTGATGCCAAACATGATATATTTTGGTTAAAAAGTGAAAAAATTAGCTTAGAAACTGTCAAATGTCAAAATTAAATATATCGATTATCTGATAAATATTGAAATGATCTTAATAAGAATCAAAAATGCTTTCATTTGATACCAAACATGATATACCTGGGTTAAACAATGAAAAAGTTAGGTTATAAACTGTCAAATGTCAAAATTACGTAAAACGGCTTTTTGATAAAAATTGATATAATGTTGATAAGAATCGAAAATGCTTTCATTTGATACCAAACATGATATATTTGGGTTTAAAAATAAAAAAGTTAGGTTATAAACTGTCAAATGTCAAAATTACGTAAAACGGCTTTTTGATAAAAATTGATATAATGTTGATAAGAATCGAAAATGCTTTCATTTGATACCAAACATGATATATTTGGGTTTAAAAATAAAAAAGTTAGGTTATAAACTGTCAAATGTCAAAATTAAACATAACGATCTTTTCATTAAAATTGAAATGATCTTAATATGAATCAAAAATGCTCTCATTTGATATCAAATACGATATGTGTACTTTAAAAAATAAAGAAAAGATAGGTTATAAACTCTCAAATGTCAAATAACCGCCATTTTGTTTTGCTAAAAATTAATATATCTCTATAACGATCGGACATAAATAAGTGAAGTTTGGATTCATTTTAAAGGATTTTTAATTTTCTATTCATTAACGTTAAAAAAAGAACAGCGTTAACACTAAAAAAAAATTCTAAATTGATCCTTATTAAGACTAATCGAGATTGAGAGAGGTAAATATAACGATTTTTTGATAAATATTGAAATGATCTTAATATGAATCAAAAATGCTTTCATTTGATGCCAAACATGATATATTTGGGTTAAAAAATAATAAAGTTAGGTTAAAAACTGTCAAATGTCAAAATTAAATATAATGATTTTTTGATAAATATTGAAATGATCTTAATAAGAATGAAAAATGCTTTCATTTGATGCTAAACATGATATATTTGGGTTTAAAAATAAAAAAGTTAGGTTATAAACTGTCAAATGTCAAATAACCGCCATTTTGTTTTGCTGAAAATTAATATATCTCTATAACGATCGGAGATAAATAAGCCAAGTTTGGATTCATTTTAAAGGATTTTTAATTTTCTATCCATTAACGTTAAAAAAAGAACAGCTTTATAACAACAAAATTTTTCTAAATTGATCCTTATTAAGAAACAAATACGACTGTTGATTGTATCAAACAATCACACTGTTGAATTAATCTGGGTGGACATATTTGTTGGTCAAGTTGATGCCTAGACTTCATGTCAAAATTAAATATAACGATTTTTTGATAAATATTGAAATTATCTTGAAAAAAATTAAGAATGCTTTTATTTGATGCCAAACATGATATATTTTGGTTAAAAAGTGAAAAAATTAGTTTAGAAACTGTCAAATGTCAAAATTAAATATATCGATTATCTGATAAATATTGAAATGATCTTAATAAGAATCAAAAATGCTTTCATTTCATACCAAACATGATATATCTGGGTTAAACAATAAAAAAGTTAGGTTATAAACTGTCAAATGTCAAAATTACATACAACGATTTTTTGATAAAAATTGAAATAATGTTGATAAGAATCGAAAATGCTTTCATTTGATACCAAACATGATATATTTGGGTTTAAAAATAAAAAAGTTAGGTTATAAACTGTCAAATGTCAAAATTAAACATAATGATCTTTTCATTACTATTGAAATTTAATGATCTTAATATGAATCAAAAATGCTCTCATTTGATATCAAATACGATATGTGTACGTTAAAAAATAAAAAAAAAATAGGTACTGTCAAATGTCAAATAACCGCCATTTTGTTTTGTTAAAAATTAATATATCTCTATAACGATAGGAGATAAATAAGTGAAGTTTGGATTCATTTTAAAGTATTTTAATTTTCTATCCATTAACGTTAAAAAAAACAGCGTTATAACTAAAAAAATTTTCTAAATTGATCCTTATTAAGACTAATCGAGATTG